TTTCCACCCCTCCTTCCATGCTCCAGCCCTGTAGCTTAGCTCAAACTGTTTCAACTGCTGGGACATGAGAACAAGTCTGACAACAATCTTAAATGCTACTCAATGTAGGCCTTTCCCTTGGCTACTGGAGTAATTGTAAGAGAGGGGGAGGGAGCTGTTTATACCAAGCTTTCTCCAGGTACTAGCCTGGGGACCCTAGCTCACAGAGCAGCTGCATTCTCTAACTCAAAACTGCTTAGTTTTTCAGGGCTACCTGTTGCAATAACTACATGTTTGGCCCCTTTTTTTCCTGCACTTCTCTGCCAAACTGCTGCTTCTCCTTAGGTCTATGAAGAGCCCTACAACTCACCATCCAGCCCTTCCCCTTAACCCAGCTCTGCACTCTACTGAAAGGGAAGCTGCTCCTTTTATAGCAAGCCCCGACTTACAGCCTGCAGCCACATGACCCCATGCAGTCAAGTGCTTCCTTTTAATCATGTGCTCCTTCCAAGAACTACAACTCCCACAATTCTTGGCTTTAAAGAAGCCAAACCTTCGAACAGCATATGCCATTAAAATTGTGCTATGCCCTATGAGAAGGGATAACACCTGTGAAATGAATGCTCTTTCACTGGTGTAAAACAGGTTTAAATGTGAGCAGAATCAGGCCTCTTCAGTCTTCAGGAAGCTTGTTTTTAGTTACAAATATTTCACACAGACCCAGTACTGTCAACCCCCAAATATACAAAATAGCATGAATCTGCCCTCCCCTCCCAACATGGTTGGCTTAATAATCATGAGGGGTTTGGTTTTTTTAAAAAATAATACAGTGTGGCTATGTCTACACTGGCGCGATCTTGCGCCAGAGATATGCGAATGAAGCTAAGCGTGGAATATTGCCGAGCCTCATTTGCATATCTAATGAGCCGCCATTTTTGCGGAAGAGGCTCTTGCACCAGAAGGAGCTGTCTACACTGCCCCTTCTTGTGCAAGAAAAACCCTCTTGCACAATGCAGTTATTCCCGAAAATAATCAGTGTAGCAGCATTGCGCAAGAGGGTTTTTCTTGTGCAAGAAGGGGCAGTATAGACAGCTCCTTCTGGCGCAAGAACCTCTTCCACAAAAATGGTGGCTCATTAGATATGCAAATGAGGCTCGGCAATATTCCAAGCTTAGCCTCATTTGCATATCTCTGGCGCAAGATCACACCAGTGTAGACATAGCCTGTGGGTTCCATTAATCTGTCTTTTAGTTCTTGAGCATTTCGGGTGCATGCAAATCACAATTTCAATACAATCATGAGTGCTACAAACACACTTGCAAATAAAAGCAGAAATTCTCATGAAACCACAGAATTCCAAGAGTGGGAGCTTTTAACGGGCATCATATGTTGTGAGACTCATGATAAAATCAGAGAGCTGGCAATGCTGCACCCCTAGCGAAGCATCCTTCCCCATTACTGTAGCTGCTTCATTAACATGCATGCTGTAAGCTCATTTGCGCCACTATTGCTTTGATGTTAATTCCAGTGTTTCACTGCACTGTGCTGTTGTACTTTCTGTTCCTGGGCGAACATCACTCTCTTCTATAGCTCACTCCTCCTCTTTGTTTCTTTTTCTATTTGGGTCTATTCACTAGCCAGCTCCCCTGATGTGGTCAAAAACACTTTGTGCCAAAGCTGACTTGCTCTTCTGGCATTCCACGTGTTGGTTCACCTTTCTGAACCCGCACCGAGTGGCGCTGGGCTGATTACATTCTGCAGTTGATTGATGTAGGTTTCCTCACTGTTCTGTTTCTGGAATCCTTTCACCTGCCTCTTAAACCGCTTGTACCCCCTTCCTGCATTTGGCAGCTCTTTAAGTGGAATCTGCCATTTCCAGTAACCTAGCAGAATGTCTGCCTGTTCTGCGGCTGAGCCCATGAAATGTCAGCGTCTTCTTCTTGTGCTAATTAATTGTTATTTAAAATTCAACATATATTTGTATGTGGGCATGGTGGATGTAATTTAAAAATAATTATTCTATTTACTGAATGTGCATAGGTCCTGAGGAACAGATGAGATTGGTGTTTTAGATGCCCCCCCCCTCCACCTGCACAAAGAGATCGAGATTGCATCTCCTGGAGACACTGAGATGAAGCCCCTCATTCAGTGGTGAGTTGCAGTATCTTGTCCAGGAATGAGAAAGTGCACTTCCATGTCTCCCCAAGCTCAGGTGATAGAACCCTGAATGAAGATACAGAAGAACATACTGCATGGTGGCAGGAAAATCCTCTTAGTTCTAACCAGGAAATAATGGAAGGTTTCTCTTGAACAGAAAAATCTAGGGGCTGGGACAGAAGAAATCATGCGAGGAAAGCCTCACAAACAGCCAGATGTGGGGAGAAAGCTTATGTTGAGAATTATGGTTTGTTATTATTTGGGTTACCAATAAAGCCAATCCTTAAAAATGGGTGAGGCTTGGCTGATATACAGTGTATATAGACTCTGTTGAAATGAAGGTAGGAACCTCATTTGCTGACAAAGACATTCATTTTCTACTATAGTTTGAACCTCTCTAGTCCAGCACTCCTTGGTCCAGCAACATCTGTGGTCCAGCACAATTTTAGTTAGCTGGATGTCTACTTACCATGAGTGTGGTCAACTTTCTCGCAGTCCCATGAAGTTTGTTTATAGCCACTAGTCCAGGTTCTCAGTGTTCTAGTTAACTCTAATTTACCCATAACTGTCTTCTAAAAGCCCAGCAAACAGAGCAAGTGTTGGTAATGCTGTTAGACTAAATATTGACCTACCATGGTCTGGCAAATTCTCTGTTTTGGCACTGGTCATGTCCCGACGGTGCCAGATTAGAGAGGTTCAACCTGTAACAGTTTCTATATCTATTCCACATAGCTTCTTCTCTTACATCTCGAGAGGGTCAGAACTTTCACTCAAAACACAGACAAATATGAGTAGCTATTCTGTCCTACAGTCAATGAGATCAATGATTATAATAATTAGTGGCTTACTTAAATTTTGTATGCTTAATTGGAACATTAGTTAGAGCAGGAATTGGATAGCATGACGTAGAAGAATGCCGTTGAGATTTTCCTGCCCACTTATAGGGGCAGGCCCTCGCTTCTGGGTGGTTCACAAGAAAGAATCAGACACAAAAGGAAGCTTTTGCTTTACTGTTACCTGCCACATCATACACCCAGTTCATATGCTGAAATGTCTTTTAATGGGAATATACACAATACACTCCAGGGGCAATATGGATCTTCATGACTTCTGGAGAGTCATTTCTGTTTCCCTAGTAGATGTCACACAAGGAGCATTAATCTCATTCTGAAGAAACAGTACAGAACTCACGCCATCTGGCTGACTGAACTACTTGCAAAATGAAAACATGTAGCCACAACCCTTTTCCCTCTCTGGCCTCCAAGCTCTTCTCCTAAGGGGCCAATCTGGCTTCTACCTTGCTGTCAGCAGGCAACCCACAAACACCCTATTCACAGAAGGCTGTCCCTGAGAGTCAGTATTTTGTGAAAAACATCATCATGTTAGCTCATCTGCTGTCCAATACAGCAGTAGTTTTCAGACTATGTCTTGTGACCTTGTACTGGGTGGTGGAATGTCAGGCACTGGGTCTCGTTGCTGCAGGGGGATCAGGTGCCCAGTGGAGATGCTAAGGCAGCTATCTGCCTGTCTTGGCACTGCAGATTGTGCTATGCCCTGGTAGCGGCCAGCAGCAGGCTCAGCTCCTAGATGGGGAGGTGGAGGGAGGAGAGCACAGGGCTCCATGCACTGCCCCTGTCCCTGCCCTGAGCACTAGCTCCGCACTCCCATTGGAAGGGCACCTGCTGCTGGCTGCTTCGGGGGCGCAGCCTGGTCTAAGGTGCCAGGAGAGGCAGGAAACTGCCTTAGCACCCCTGCTGCACTGCTGATCAGGACCTGCTCAAGGTAAGCTCTGCCTGCCTCAGCCCTGACCCCCCCAAAACCGGAGCCTCCTCTTACACCCCAAAGATCTCATCATGAGCCTCACCCTGGAGCCCACACTCTGGTCATGTTATGTTGGGTCATGGGCATCAACTGGGTCATGAGAAAAAAAAGTTTGAAAACCTTGCACTGCAGTGACCTCAGTTGTGAACTCAGGCCTTTTAAAGATGGCCCTTGAGAGCGTTATTGGTTGCAAGGGTGGCACAAAGAGGTTCTCACTGTTTGACTAGAAAATGATCTACTATAGACATACTAAAGTATATTATGGGAGGTGTTGCTTGCAGTGGTGAATAGTTACTCACTTAAATAATCCTATTGACTTTATTGGTGCTACTCCAGTACAGAAGTGCTCACAACCATACAGCTTCCACAGTCCAGTCCTATATATCTAGCCATAAACAAGTGTGATCCCCCCCAGCAAGAACCCCACCAAGCAAGGAATTGCAGAATGATGGACTGCCTTTTGGCCGCACTCTAACGCCCAAGTGGCACATTTCCCGTTGAAGTGACGATCTTGACAGTTCATCCCAGTGAACTTTCTGCCTTCAGCAGACTCAGAAACACACTACCCACAACATGTGCATCTCCCTCGCAGGGTAGTGCCAAACCTTACGCCTGATAATAAAGCCCAGCTATTCTTTAACAGTAAATTTCAGAGTGCTTTGCAATGAGGTTTATATCACAGCCCCTGTTTTACAAATGGGATGATGTAACTTGCTCAAGGTCACCCAGCCAACTACTAGCAGAAATGGGAACAAGAATCTATGTGTTCTGAGTTCCATGCCAGTGCGCCGTCTTCTAGGCCACACTGCCTCTCCTGGCAACATAATGCACTGCCCACTTAAGTTGTGCACACATCAGAATTAAATGCTTGCTAATGCTGAGTTGTACTTTCCCTTTTAGCTATATATTTGGATTGTAGGAAGTCAGCATCAGTGCTTCCTGTAAGAATCACCCACAAGAGATTCAAATGCCATCTCACAGATTAGTAGCGTGCCTGCAGTGGGCAGAATGTTTTCTACTGGTGGTGCACATCTACACATTCCTCAGTGCATGTAACAAAATTTATTCTGCACACAGATGACAAAAATTAGAAGGAACGCTGCTCAGCACATATGAAAATCTACAATGATTTAGGAACCTAACTATGGAGTAAGGTGACTAAGATTTAGTCAGGCATGTTTGAATATTTTGAACTATTTCTTTCTATAAGGCCACTTAAAAGAATGGACATTTTAATTAAACTGCTTTAATGTTAGAGTCTGGAGGTTTGTTTTCAGGCAGCAAACTCACAGGGAGGCTGTACAATCATCTTTCATTCTATCGGTGACCGTTTTTTCCCATCTGTTTGTGCAATAACCTATTGAACTTTTCCAGACTGTAATTCAATGGAGAATAGATACTTGCAAGAGGCTTTTTCGGCAGGGAGCATGGACAGCCTTGAATCAATTTCAGTTTTTCAGCTGTTTAATGCACTGATAGCAGCTGGAAGAAATAAATGAATAAAAGGATCAATGTTACTTTTATTTATCTGGAGCTGCAGTGTCTTGCTCGTCCCTTTGTGACACCGATACACTCATTGTCCCACCTTCATCTAGGAAACCCACAGACTCTTGCACATTGATAATCAACTGTTTCAATATTTTTTGGCAAGATTCATTAGCCTTTTGATAAAAAG